TGGGCATTGGTTCTCTCCTTTCACCATCTGGGTGCTGGCAATCAAACTGAGGTCTCAGGCTTAGCAGCAAGTCCGTTTACCCACTAAGCCATTTCACGAGCTCCTCACTTCTTTTTCCCCCCAGTAACAAGACAGCTGAGAAAACAACTCGGGGAAGGATTTATGTTGGCTCACATGTTTAGCCCAACATGATTGCAAGTTTGAGACCAGCCAGAGCTATGGGATCCTGTCTCCAATAAACAAAACAATAGGAGAGGGGGCAGGGAGGGTGATGAGGAAGAAAAGAGAGGAGGGAGGGAGATTGAGACAGATGGACATTCAGACAGACTTTGGAAGTAGGGAGCCCTTCCAAAGGGCAGTCCACAAGAGAGGAGGTCGAGGCTTCTAGAAGAGCCCTTCCTCCACTACAACCTGGCTCCTTGCTTTCTAAGACTGGCTTTCCTGGAAGTACTGAGCTGAGCCCTGTGTACACCACTGAAGACTTGTCAGACTCGTTTGTGTCCCACAGAAAGAAGCAGAGCTAGGGCTACAGGGAGTGGGTGCCTCGGGCAACCTCTGACACCCCCTTTCTTGAGATTCTGTCTCCCTGACAGCAGGACCTGCCATCCTTCAAGGGCCCTGCCTCACTAGGGAAGCTGGCAGCCAATGTAGAGGTCAAAAGGATTCCACAGGTTAAAGAGGAGGTACGTGTGGGGAGGGCCCTCCCTGGCTCTCCCCTTCCTCCTTCCTCATTCTTCCTTCATCTGTTCACTGTGCCAGGGTGCAGTAGTGAGCAACAAAACCAGTTAAAGCTGTGTGGTGAGCTCAAGAGGAACTTAGTGAGACCCTCTCTCAAAGTAAACACTAAAAGCATGTTTGGGGTTGTTGCTCAGTGGGAGATTGCCTATCTAGAATCCCCCAGTGAGGGGCTGGGGTGTGGCTTAGTGTAGAGCACCTGCCTAGTATGCTTGAAACCCTGGGTTCAATGCTAGATTCTGTAAAACAACAACAAAAAAAGCTTAAGAACTTCTTGCTGTACTCCTACGGTCCCTGCCACTTCCTTTGGACACAGAGACTTTGCTTATGGTGCTTCCTCTGGACACAGGGACTCTTTCACTCTCTTACTCCAGCCTGGCTATGGTCTCAGTTCAGTGACACAGGCTTAAATTTCAGAACACTTGACACTTAAGTTTATGTATTATCATTTGTGTGTGTGTTCATACCCACACATGTCTCTGTGTGTTCATGCCCACACACCTGCTTGCATGCTCATGTGCGAGTTGTTTTTCTCCTCTGGGTTGGAACCTAGGTCATCAGTCTCATGAAAGACACCCCTTCCCCACTGAGCCAGCTAACTGGCCCACCAGGTGTTTTTGCTGGGAATGCCATCTCCAAAGGAGTGGAATTTGGGTGGTGGTTTGCTCACTACAGTGTCCCTAGACCCCTGCAGTAGGCTGGTAGATGGCAGAGTCAAAGTCTAGGATGTCTAGAGAACCAGCCTCAAGCCCCAAGTTCTATGGAGGCCGCTCTATATGGCCAAAGCTGGTAGGGCATTTTGTTCTAGGGCTGAACCTTCCCTAGGGCTTCACCGAGCCTGCCTGCCCATCTAGTCTTCAGTCTCCCCATAAGCAGAATGGACTCAGATGCCCCTGGCATCTTAGGGACTATCATGGCTTAGGTAGCTTTTCTGTTTTTCTTATAAACTGACCAAACTGGATCTCCTAGAATGCCTGGTGAACTCTGACCAGACCTGGTAGGTGATGGACCACAAGCCCAGACAGGCTTTTGGGTCCCCAGAGAGCTGGGGCAGGGAGTTGGCCCTGCCCGGGGCCTCAGCCTGCTCCCCCAGCCAGCTGTATCTCATTGAGGATAATTAGCCCAGCCAGACGCCTGGCTCTTGGTCTCTCATTTTCCACTCAGGATCCATCCGCCGGGGGCCTTCGGACAGTGGCCCCCACATATAAATCAAGAGGGAGTTGCTGTTAAGAGAATGGGGACATTCTTTCCACCCGTGTGGCTGGCTAAATTGCCTCCAAGAGTAGATTCTGTCCTGGCACCCACTCAAGAATGGCCAAGGCCTTTGAAGGTCCTTCCAGGATGGACCCCAGGGGTTTGAAGCTGGCTGTGCAAGCAGGAATCTCTCTGGGAGCCTTTGCTGACCACAAGAGGGTGGGGCCTCTAAGGACAGTGGGATAACATGGTAGAAGAGGGACAGATCTTGCTTGACACGAGGCATCCCCATTATGACACGAGTCACCATAGCAACTTGGGAGTAGACTACATCTCTCCGTCTTTTTGATGGTACAGGAGATGGAACCAGGAGTCCCTAAATGCTAGGCAAGTAAGTGCTCTGTCATTAGCCATTCTCGTAGCCGCCTTACTGGGGGTTTCTAGTCCAGTGACTTGTCAGGGAGCCACACCTAGCAGTGCTGAGGCTCACAGGTGTTCTATGACTACCTCACTCTCTCTATTTTTATTGTTCTAAGATGCATGATCAAGATTCATCTCAAAATAAATAAGTTTTAAAACGAGGAGCACATCTCAGTGATAGGACGTGGTAGGACATTGAGGACCCTGGCTTTTCTCACTACCACTCCAAAAAGAAATAAATTAAGACAAAACAAATGTATGTCCACAGGTTGATATTAGTAAAAAGATGAGTGTATATTTAGTGATAATAAAAAATCATGAAAGTGGAATGAGAATCGTTGAGGTTTTCGCAATGAGCTCTGGAGAAGAGGTTCTAGAGAGACTGTGTTAAAGGAGAAAACTTCAGAATTTTCTGGAACACTGCTTCTGGAACTGTCATACTTTTCCCACTGAATCAGCTTTTGAGTCTTGACCCTCAATTTCATTTTTCTTTTCCTTTTTTAAAAAAAGACTTATCATACACACACACACACACACACACACACACACACACACACACAAAATACGTTTGTGTGTGCTCGTGCACGTGAGTTCAGTGCCCATGAAGGCTACAAAAGGACGCTGTCTGATATGGATGCTGAGAGCTAAAGTTGGGTCCTATGGAAGAGAACTACATGAACTTGACCATCAAGTCACCACCTCACCTTTCCCGTTCATCGATCCCAATTTCTTTCAATAGTGAGGTTGATCCTGAGCTCCACAGTGGCAGGCTGGAGCCGGGGAAGTGTTTAGCTACTTACAGGCAGACAGAAAGATGAACTCCAGATTATGTGCAGTTTGTGGTCTGGCACAAGAGCTGATCTTCCTGCAAACTAAAATTCCTGGTGACTTAGGTACCCACTCAGGGCTATGGAGATGGACATTTTGTCCATGACACCTGGCTATTCCTTGAAGTTTTCTGGGGCCACACACACCATCAGCAACCCTATCTCTTCCTGGCGTGCTGTGGCTTTGGCTCTCATGCTGATCCCATGCTGGCTGGACCAGGGTGAGATTGGGGAACCAGGAGGAGGCTGCTGGGTCAGTGGTGTTGCAGGGGTCATGGCATATCCCTGTCTTTATATACTTGACTTGTGTAGCCTGGCTCAGTTGCCTCAGAAGACAAGGCTATATTTGTGGTCGGATAGGGACACAGCCTTGGACAGCTTTGATAGTCCTAAAACAGTAAGATAAAGGACCTTAGCACCTTCTTAGCCTTTTCATGATCCAGCTACAATCATGGAATCCACAGCAGGCAGGGACAGAAAGGCACACAGAGTGGCTCAGGGCCAAGGCTCAGAAGCCAGCTCAAGTCCCAGCTGCCGGCCTCCCACGTTCTTACCCAAGACCTGTTATCCGGGTACTGGGTGCTAATGTCTATGTTTGGAGAGGGTGGGGCATTGGGACCCAGACTTCTTGGTGCCATGGGGACACTGGATAGGAGTGGTGGTGGGTGCAGTGGTGGGAGGAAAAGGCCATGTGGAGCTACCGTAATCCAGAATTTAGCTTCAAAGCCTGTGCCTTCCACTTCATTGGAATGTCCACCCGCAAGGGTGGAGGCAGAGCAAGTCTGGCTCCCATCAAACTTCAGAGAGTTGCTGTGTCTTGTTTGGCTGGGAACTGCA